GAATAAAGAGCTTCTGTATGGAACTATGAACCTTGGCAGGAACCACTGTGCTACGGGAGTGAAGAGGCCTCCCGCTGGGGGCTGCAATGGAAAAAGTGACCTCAGAGAGGAATTCAGAACAGAAATGCTCAGAAAGAGATGAAACACCACGAAGTTTTGGTTAAGTCATTTGGTTCCAGGCTTATAAAAATATAAAGCTGTTTCAGCCAAAAAAAAAAAAAAACGCAAATTATATGAACTTTGTAGATTACTCTTCTATTCTAACTTTGAATTCCAAAGTGCCTCTGTGTTCAGATTCTTTACAAGAGATCTATCGTGTTTAGAAACACATTCTTCTAAGGAGGCCCAGGCAGGAGAAGCAAAATACCTAATCTAGAGCCACCGGGCTTAGATTACTGAATGTTCCACTGAGCCACCCCAGCATAGAGGGCACGCTAATTAGGGACTCCAGAAAAGAAAGCACCAGAGAGAAATCTTTGCATGCCCTTTCCTTCTTTAGTGCCCCAGCTAGAGACGGTACCCCGTTTACAGAAATGTTTGTACAGGCATACCTTGGAGATAGTGTGGGCTCAGTTCCGGACCACTGTAATAAAGCAAGTCACTTAAATTTGTTTCCCAGTACATATAAAAGTTATACTTACACTAGACTGTAGTCTATTTAGTTGCAATATATCTTTGTACATACCTTAATTTAAAAATGCTTTATTGCTAAAAAAAATGCTAATGTTCATTAGCCTTCAGCAAGTTGGAATCTTTTTGCTGGTGGAGAGTCTTGCTTTGATGGCTGATGGCTGCTGATGGATCAGGGTGGAGGTTGGTGAAGGTTGGGGTGGATATGGTCATTCCTTAAAATAAGACAACAATGAAGTTTGCTATATCCATTGACTCTCGCTTTCATGAAAGAGTCCTCTGCAGCCCGTGATGCTGTTTGGTAACATTTTACCCACAGTAAAATTCTTTCTAAATTGGAGTCAATCTTCTCAAATCCTGCTGCTGCTTTATCAACTAGGTTTATGTCATATTCTAAACCCTTTGTTGTCATTTCCACAATGTTCACGGCATCTTCACCAGGACTCATGTAACCACTCTTTGCTCATCCATAAAAAACAACTCCTTAGCCATCCAAGTTTTATCATGAGATTGTGGCAATTCACTCACATCTTCGGGCTTTACTTCCAATTCTATTAACAGTCCTCTTGCTATTTCCACCACATCTGCGGTTAGTTCCTCCAGCGAAGTCTTTAATCCTCACTGTCATCCATGAGGGTTGGAATCAACCTCTTCCAAACTCCTGTTAATGTTGATATTTTGACCTCTTCCCATGAATCATGACTGTTCTTAATGGCATCTAGAATAGTGAATTCTTTCCAGGTTTCCAATCTACTTTGTCCAGATCCATCAGAGGAATCAATATCTACGGCAGCTAAAGCCTTACAAAATGTATTTCTGAAATAATAAGACTGGAAAGAAAAATTACTCCTTAATCTATGTGCTAAAGAATGGATGTTGTGTTAGCAGGCATGAAAACATGTATCTCCTTGTACATCTCCATCAGAACTCTCGTGTGACCAGGTGCATTGTCAGTGAGCAGTAATATTTTGAAAAGAACCTTTTTCCCAAACAGTTGGTCTTAACAGTGGGCTTAAAATATTCAGTAAACCAGACATGCTGTCATCCAGCTTTATTGTTCCATTTATAGAGCATAGGCGGAGATTTAGCAGAATTTTTAAGGACCCTAGGATTTGGGGAATGGTAAATGAGCATTGGCTTCAACATAAAGTCACCAGCTGCCTTAGCCCATAACAAGAGTCAGTCTGTCCTCTGAAGCTTTAAAGGTAGGCATTGACTTCTACTCTCTAGCTGCAAAAGTCCTAGATAACATCTTCTTTTAATATAAGGCTGTTTTGTCTACATTGAAAATCTGTTGTTTAACAGTGTAGCCACCTCTATCAATTATCTTAGCCAGATCTTCTAGCAAATTTGCTGCGGCTTCCACCTAAAGCACCTCTTCACCTTGTACTTTAATGTTATAGAAACGGCTTCTTTCCTTAAACCCCATGAACCAACCTCTGCTACCTTCAAAGTTTTCTTCTGCAGCTTCCTCTCCTCCCTCAGCCTTCACAGAATTAAAGAGAGTTCGGGCCTTGCTCTGGATTTGGCTTTGCCTTAAGGGCATGTTGTGGCCGGTTTGATCTTCTATCCAGGTCACTAAAACTTTCTCCATATCAGCAATATGGCTGTTTCCCTTTCTTATCATTCTTGTGTTTACTGGAGTAGCAATTTTAATTTCCTTCAATAACTTTTCTTTTGCAGTCACAATTTGGCTGTTTGGTGCAAGAAGCCTAGCTTTTGGCCTGTCTCAGCTTTTGGCATGCCTTCCTCACTAAGCATGAACATCTCCAGCTTTTCATTTAAAGTGAAAGACCTGTGACTCTTCCTTTTGCTTGAAGGCTTAATGGCCACCATAGGGTTATTAATTGGCCTAATTTCAACATTGTTGTGTCTCAAAGAACAGGAAGGTTCAAGGAGAAGGAGAGAGACAGGGCAAAGGATAGTTGGAGCAGTCAGAACACACATGTCAATTAAGTTTGCTGTCTTATACAGGCACGGCTCCCTGGCATCTCAACACAATTATAATAGTAACATCAAATATCAATAATCACACATCACTATAGCAGATACAGTCATCATGAAAAAGTCTGCAATATTGCAAGAATTACCAAACTGTGACAGAGAGACATGAAGTGAGCGCATGCTGTTGGAAAAAATGGCATCCATAGACTTGCTAGATACAGGGTTGCAACAAATCTTCAATTTGTGAAAACCACAATATCTGCAAAGCACAACAAAGTGCAAGGAAATGAGGCAAACCTGTATGTACTACAGCAGCAATTTATGGCTTTCACTACTAATATGTAGCCAGTACAGTGAGACTTTCAGAGCTGGGGTCTCTTTCTATGTGATTGGATTTCGAAATTTATTTAATAAATTAGGCTTTCACAAGGAAAAAAATGAAATAGCATAATTTCAGATAGATAAGAACAAAACCATAGTCTATTAAAAAATACGCCACCCCACCCACCCCTGCCCCAAACAAGCTTTTAAATATAGATCTACACTTTGAGCAACGCATGAATCAAGTCACATATTTAATGTCAGCAGAGTGTAATTTCAGACGCATGCCAGAAAGAAAAAGGGGGTGTGCACAAATAAAACTTATTTATATTTTTATTTATGCTATTTTCCACGGATTGAAAATAAATTTTCAAGAGTACCATTTCTCGAGCTAATCAACTCCTAGTTTCTAAAAATGTTGTGGTTATCTAGCAGTGCCCTCTGGTGTCGAAATGGATTATTTTTGTTTGCCTCAAGGCAAAAAGTAAGCCACTCTATAATCAGACAAGTCTATAGTCAGCATTCGTTCATTTGCCAAATATTTATTGAGTAACTACTATATGCCAGTTACTTGTGGAAAGTGATAGGATGGAAAGATTATTAAACAAAATCTTGTTTCTTAAGAACAAATTTTTGTTCTTAAGGAGCCAGTAGTCTAAGAAGGGAGAAGATGTAAACTCAATTACAAAATTACTTAAACAAATCACTTTCTTAGTTTTTTACTAAAATGAGACAGACACAGCTAGGTTGCCTCCCTTTCCAAACTGTTCTCAACTATGATTCATGTTAGCAGGTATCTGGCTGGCTTTGGACACAACACCTTTGGTCAAGTACACAGGGAACATTCTGAAATAAACATCCCAGGACATACAGTGAGATTGAGTCCTAGTGTTAAAGATTTAAGGAAGTGCTTTTCACAGTCAACGCCCAAACACACTCCTGGTTTTGTAGTCATTTAGGGACACACTGGTTACCAGATCTGACACACAAATCTGACATTCATTAAGCCTTACGTTTCTCTCTGAAAATGCTCTTTTTCTAGTACTGTGATGAAAGGCCTCGAGATGAATCCAACAAAAAACCTTAAGACATCAAGAGACCCTAAGAATTTATCATAAACTGTTTTAGGATTCTTAGATCTGCAAATTGGTCACTAGAGTCACGGAAACCATATTGTTCTGAATAGGTGCATCTTCGAGTCTTCTGGAGAAACAGAGGAAGCCTGAAGGAAGTGCAGAGACCTTCCATCAAGAATAAAAGCAAAATTCAAATGCTGTCAAAGGAGTCAAGAATGACTACAGACCAAGAATAATGCTTCATGCCACTTTGTAATGTTACTTTTTTTTGTCATTTTTCCATTCTTGTTACTGCTGTTTCCTAATCAGCCATGAAACCAGAGTATATAGGTGGGATCTGTGACTTGCTTCTAACCAATAGAATATGGCAAAGGTGACAAGATGTGTATGATTACATTACTTAAGATTACTCTCTCCCTTGCTGGCTTGGAGAAAGCAACCCGTTGTGTTGGGAAGGTCCATGTGGCAAAGAGCTGAGGGTGGCCTCCCACCAACAGCCTGTTAGGAATTGAGCCCTCTCAAGGAACTGAAGGCTGCTAATAACCACATGGGTGAGAAAGCAGACCCTTCCCCAGTCAAGCCTCAGAGGAGACTGCAGCCCAGGACAACACCTTGACTGCAGCCTTACAGAAGACTCAACTAATTTGTGCTTAGACTCCTTACACACAAAAACTACGAGATAATAAATGTGTGCTGTTTTAAGTTGCTAAGTTTGTGTAATATTATTATGCAATGACAGATAATATAAATTTCAAGACACATTTTAAGATGTTTTTATTATAAAAGTCATACAAAAACTGAAATATTGAGGAAAGACAAAATCATCCGCTTACTGCCCTGCCATCCCTCTATACGCAGTTAGTAGTTTACTTTGATTTACTTTGTCATCTTTTTATTACATGCATGTCGTGTTATTTGCAGCCATGATTACACCCATTCATATACTTTTGTATCTTGCAATTTTTATGTAATATAACATTTTCTCATGTATTTAATATTATTCATTACTAATTTTTCAGGAATATATATTGTGCTATTCATATGTATCTGTTTATTGAGTATTTCCTAGACCAGAGGATGGCAAATTATGGTCCCACATTTGTAAATAAAGTTTTATTGGAACACAGCCAAGGCTATTTGTTTATATAGTGTCTACGGCTGCTCTTGTGCTACAACCAGCAGTGTTGACAAGTTATGACAGGGACAGGAAGGCCTGCAAGGCCTAAAGTATTTACTTCCTCGCCCTCTATAGAAAAAGTTTGCTGAGCCCTGTCCTAAACTTTTATGTGGTTTATGATTTGAGCTATTAAAAGTAATGCCATTTGAAACATCTTTAGACATAAAATTTTTATACTTTGGACAACTTAATTGGAAGATATTAACAAAAGTAGAATAAATGGGTCTAATTAATAAAAACATTTTTAAGGCTGATAGTGTCCTACACTATCTTTCTTGTAATATTTAGCTATAATAAAGGTGGTGATGATAAGAATGGAAAGGAATACCTAATACTCGTGTAGACAGCACTTCTCTGGTCCCTATTATTCTCGACACATAAGTTTACACTCTGAATGAACATATTTTTAGTTTTGATTTAAAGTCAACCAAAGAGGGAAGTAACAATAATTGCAACAGGAAGACCAAATGAAAGAAATCTTTTACTTTCTATTGGGGATGAAAAAGCAGGTGGAGATAAATTCTCCACGTGTCAAGGTGTGTATGAAATGCCATTCCAAGCTAGCTGCAGCGGCCAAAAGGCACTGGGAGAGATGAGTAAGAGAAAGAGGTGGCGGTCTCCAAAACGAGCTAGCAGTGGCAGCAATGAACAAAGGCAGCTACGGGTGTGGGATGACAGAAGCAGCATACGGGTTCCACCCCCTTGAACACATCCTAGGCATAGACCTGTATACAACTGTAATTAAACTGTCTCTAGATAAGAAAGTTCTAAGAGCAACTACCTTTATTTTTTAAGGAAAAAAATTCTTCTATCTGGGGAAGTTTTATTCTTCAGAAAGAAACTCTTACGGAAGTGGAAAGTCAATCTTGACGAGTCGACCTAAGTCAACCCTGACTATCTGAAGTGAAAGATGAAGCACACTGATCAGTCTCAAATCCAATCTCGTATGAATAAAATATGTATCGTGAAGTACAGATGTCATCTTCTTAGGGAAATATTCTGCAATATATAAAAAAGAAAAGATCAGGATGAACCTTTTCCACAATAAATGGAATTTAAAAACAAAATTATAGAGATATTTAATGTAATTATCCCAATTATGCCAACAATGTATGTAAAGAAATCATAATATAACACATTTATTTTATTAAAATGTTCCTGTCAAAATGTCAACCAATTTAACACTTCCTAAAGAAGTGTTTTTTTAGTTAAAACTATTATTAGCCTTTTCATTCCACCTCAGTTACTGACTAAGTAATTAAATGCATGATGATTTCATGAAATACTCTGGGAAACTATGAAATTGTCCATAAAGTAAGGAAATCAAATTATTTTTGCAAAAGTAACTAGGAACACGTTACTTTGAAAAAAAGACAGCCAGTTTTCTGAGGTGTAAAAGTCAAACCATTTTTTTCTTGAACTTGTCCTATGGCAAAGGAAGCGGCAGTTCTATGAATAGCTTGATTCACACTTAAAATCACATTATAATTTTCCTCTTTTTTCACTGGTTACTGTCAGTTACCTCAAAACTGACCTGAGGGTCTGGCAGCATAAATCCATCGGTAAGTTTATAATAGACTATTGTAGAATCAGACTCCACTATGGCCAAAGTGAAAGACATTGGCAAATCTGGATCACCCTGCAATTTTCGCGATGCCTTCAAGATCTCCCTTATCCTGAAAATAAAGTCACAATACATTTAGGATTCACAGTCACTCGATGATAAGATCAAATATTGTAAAATCTTGAGAAAGAGGCAGGCAATTATATTTATCCATAATGCTGACTCAGGAAATGTCTGAAGGTTCAAATATAAACATTTAAAGCTATCTTCTTACATAGAAAATCCTGGAAATAAGAGCTATCTATTGACTTTCAATCTTTCTCAAAAACATTCACCCATCTCTCCTGATCCTCATATCTGAGAGAACCAGGCTGTATTTAGGAACATATAAAATGGTATATCACTAGTACTTGCTGCATCTAAATTGGCTAAGGACGCTTGTTCATTTTCCAATTTTCTAACATGGTATCTTACAGTAGAACAATTTGGTATTCACGTTTGTTATTTTAAAAAATAGACTATCATAAACATTTTCCCCATGTTTTTATATGGGGTTAATAACTGCTACCTTTAAATGGCTATATAATATTCCACTGACCATACTTTACCAAATCATTCCCACATTATCATAAGGTTCTTTAAGGTTTTTTTTGGGGGGGACGGTCAAGAGAGAGTGATGCCAATAAAGATAAGTTGCAATGATTATCTTTCTGTATGTACCTGTTTCACTTTAAATATTTCTGTTAAGTTCTTCCAGTATGAGAATTCTTAGATCTGAGTAGAGATATTTTTATGGTTCTCAATACGTATTCTGATACAATAAAAGCTAAGAGAAAAATATATAGAGAAACAAAACCTTTCTTTAAAAAAAATTTCTGGTAATGTTAGGATTTTGGTTTGTTTGGTGTGGAAAATAATCTACCAAATCTAGTATCTAGGTCTTCAAAGCACTATTAGCTTTTGCTTATCATAACTGAAAATCCTATTACCTACTCAATGAAGCATGTGTTCAATAACTCAGTAAAATGTAACCTCCTGAGGAGCTTTCTTATAAAAAGCAAATAAAAAATGATTAGTTGTTTTTTTAATTAAGCCAACCAATTCTCCAGAAACTGAAAAGAGATTACTAGTATATTAACATTCTACCAGTGAACACATAAATAACACTATATTCTCTTAGCAAAAGAGTAATCTGTTCCCTTAGGTTCTACTTCTCAACTCAATGTGAAAATGCTTATGGTCACGCTTTACCCATCCTATTAGCTATTGAATCTAAAAAGCCTCTGCTCTGAAATATTCTTACAATAATTATAATGCTTTTTATCTGTAGTAGAGACTGGAGATATTAAGAGTGATTTAAACCAGCAATAAACTTCTGGAAAAGCTGAAACTAAATTGTCCTTGTTAAAATATCACTGAATCACTGCACAATGTGTTATAGAGTGGTAACTGCTTTGTTTAAACAGTAGTCATAAAAGGCTGCTTCCCTACTACCTATCATTTAAGTTTCCACATGAATATAACGATTTGAAAAGAGAATGAGTTTCTATGTTTGTTTCCTCATATTGAAACCAATCCTAAAATGACTTTGAAAGAGTTAAGTCAACAATATGGTAAATACTCAGTTTTCAAGCATAACTGTCAAGCAACATTTACTGGGTAAATAAAGTATGTCTACCTGGAAAAATCTTAATTCCTTTTCAAGAGTCAGCAAAGCATCATTTTCTCTCTTAAGTCTTCCTTATCACCTTTCCCCAACTTCCAGGCAAAGTTACATATCTTACCCCACAACGGTACCTTGTGCAAACCTACAACACTCGGATCACTATGTTATATTTACATGTCTAAGTGTCTTTTCTCCACTGGATTATAACCATTTTCAGGGTGAAAACTTAAAAAAAAATTTATTAATGCCCAATATATAGTAGAGTACTTGGGCAAAATGAATGAGACTTTCTTAATAACGGAGTCCATATGGCTACAACTAACCCTTTTAGGTATATAAACTCTAAAATATGTTTCTGACAAATATTTTTCTAAAATTTATTACACAACTCTATTGTACTAAGCAAAAGTTCAACTTGTCTTGACAGCTCAAGATCATCATTTTTGGTACTTATTATTGTAGATACATTGGCAGACTATATGGCACTTGGGACTAAAGTAGACCCTGGAACTTAATTTCTTAAAAGTATCTGCTATTTGCCTGCTTTTTATTAAACTGTTTTATCATTTGTCTCATACCAGGTAAACCACAGTCACCTGTTCTTTTATGGTCCATGAGTCAAGAATGGTCTTTACATCTTTAAATGGCACATTTTTAATGGTCATAGAAGTACCCACGTATAGCCTCAATTTTGCCACTTGGTCCACAAAGCCTAAAATATTTACTATTTGGCCCTTTAAGAAAAGGTTTGCTGACTCCTACTCTATACCATGAAAAGGGGTTAAGAATAAGAATTATAAGACATGATCATCAGGGCAGTGTACTTTTTTTCCTCTCAAACTTGTTGATTCAAAAATCAATGCAGGAGATATATATCATGTCTTTTTTTCCCTCTGATCCTCCTTCACCACCTTCTTTTGGTAATAAATAGACATTTTCTAGTGTACCATTTTAATTTCTTTCTTGTTTTTTTACCATAGTTTTTGAGTTTCTTAGTGATGGCACTAGAAATTACTATTTCATCTTAATTTATGACAATTTTTTTTTTTTTTAGACAGTCTCATTCTGTCTCCTGGGCTACAGTGCAGTGGCATCAGCATAGCTCTCTGCAACTTCCAACTCCTAGGCTAAAGTAATCCTCCTGCCCCGTGCCCAGTTAATTTTTTCTATTTTTAGTAGAAACGGGGTCTCACTCTTGCTCAGGCTGGTCTCAAACTCCTGACCTGCAGCGATCCTCCCACCTCGGCCTCCCAGAGTGTTAGGATTACAGGCGTGAGCCCTCGCACCCAGCCAATCATAATTTCTCTCACATTAATACTAACCTGATTCTACCAAAACATAGAAACTGCTCCAATATAGCTTTAGTCCTTTCTCCTTTGTGCTACTATTGTTGCATATGTTGATATATTATAAACCCAACAATACAGTGTTTTACTTATTGCTGTATACAATTTTATGTCTTTTTAAAGGGGGAGAAAGGAGAAAAATATATTAGAGTCTTTTATATTAACATATTTAATATTTCTGGTATGCTTCATTTCTTCACATTAATCTCTATTGTCATTTCCTTATCCAATATAGTGCCATTCCCTCTCCCAACCTTTGTGTTAATAACGTCATATGTGTTACTTCTTAATATACTATAAGCCTGGTCAGTTGATTTTTGACAAAGTTACAAAAGTAATTCAATAGAGAAAGTCTTTTGAACAAACGGTGCTGTAAAATGAAGACCGTATACCTCTATGTCTACACAAAGGGTCACTGTAAGACTCAAGAAAGTGGCACATACGCAAGGGCTTTGTAACCTGTCAAGCAGTCGCCGAATACAGGTATTATTACATAGTACTTATTCCAGCTTTACCATCTTGCAATTGGGACAAAATGTTTGTATTCACCTCTGCCTCCATGATTATTGCTAAAAACAAATACTAACCCAAACATACAAAGGTACATTGTGCCATTAGTGGAAACACAGGAAACGTTCATTTTCTGAAATAGATAGCTTGAATCCCAGAAATCAACTTAGTCCTTAAAAAATAATTTCCACCAATGTTAAATTGCATTACAATTAGCTAGATTCCTATTCATAAGAACAGTTTACTTTAGAGAGAGATATTCAAATAAAGCAACCATAGATATTAATCAGAAACTTCATTACTCAGCACTGACAGGAAGTGACACCCTGATAAAAGATAGCAAACTCCAATTACTTCATCAATGCAAATCTTTTAGTGTAACTAAGTATTTTCCTTCTTCAAAAGTGGCAAACCACTATCTAAACTATCAAGCATAGAAAAAAATCAATTTTTATAGGCTATCCATCTTGAATCACTCTTTTTCTACAAAGATGGAAAAAAGAAACTGATCAGGGATCAACTAAAATTTTAATTTATCTTTATCTTTTGTTGTCAGTTTGATCAGTTATTTCCCAGTATGCAATATATACATAAAACACAGTATATAATGCTCATAAAGCCACTGCATTGCCACAAACTAGAGACAAATTTCTCTAAACATACGCATTTTGTTAATTGACTCATGAATTGATGGGCATTCGGGTTGATTCCACATGAGCCATGAAGAAGGATGACTTAATGTCTTTTGCAACAATATGGATTGGAACTGAAGACCACCATCCTAAGTGAAGTATCTAAAGAATGGAAAAACAAACACCACGTGTACTCACTAGTAAATCTGAACTAACCGATGAGCACACATGTGCACAGAGGGAAGTAAAACTCAATGGAAATCAAGCAGGGGGAGAGGGGAGGAGGGGATGGACAAAAACCTACCTAACAGGTACAGTGTTAGGGCACACTTATAACCTTGACTCAAGCGTTACAAAAGTGATCCTTGTAACCAAAAACATTTGTACCCCCATAATACTTGGAAATTAAAAAAAAAAATTTCTCTAAACATCCTTTACTGGAAGACTGATGAGAATGGGACACAGATGAGAAGGAAACTTATTAAGACAACATTTATACATTTTCAGTTTCTCTAAATATACTGTTTAAATCAGAAGGTGTTTTAGTATGTGTATGTGTACTTGTGTGTGTGGTTTTTTTTCCTAAGGTAAACTGTATAGGAATTCTAGCCCCTATACTGAAATTTAGGATAGAAATTTCCACCTCATTCATTGCTCTTTTTTCACTCTCCATTGATATCTGTTTCCAGAGTTCTTTACTATAAACAGCAAAACATTTTCATACTTACCCAAAACACCCCTGCAGGAAACCCTAATGTTTGAAAATTAACTCAGAGTTGTAAAGGGGGTTTTGTTTTCAGAGTTGAGTGAAATCACTGTCAAAATGAAATGGAAATTCCCATCTCTGAGCTCTTATTTATCCTACGCGGTGGTCCGGGTAGAGGGAACTACCAATGAATCTTCTCAGTCATAACATAATAAAATAGTTTATCTGCCTCATTACTCAATGTACACTCAG